TTACTAATTTTTTACTTTTCAATCATTTACTTTCAAAATCATTTCTCTCCACAGAATACAATTATTTTATATCTTTGATTTATTTTTGCAAAATTTATTATTTTGTTTACTACTATCATATTTATATATATATATATATATATATATTATGATCTACGCATCATATCCAACATTTTTTAATTTTCTTCTAACTAAAAATTCATTCTCTTAATCCTTGAGAAAATTCCATTTTGTTTACCCACGCGTGGCTTTTTCACGAAAATTATTTTTCGACTTTATTTCTTTCCCTCCTTTTCATTCGCACAGGTCTTCTCTCGACGATGTCATATAAGTGTTTGAATTTTAATTCGTTCTGTCCAGAAAATTTCGTTATTCCCAGCATGCTCGTACGTTGCATGTCGTACATTCACGGCATGTTATCGTGTGCGCGCACGTGTGTACGTCGTACACAAACGCATTTTACGTGTTCCCAGTTTTATATCTCACCCAGTGCACCTGTGCAACACATTCAGTTATCTCTAGCTCGCATCTCGCTTCTTCTCTCGTTCCCCATCAAGCTCCGTAGCTTAACAAGGGCATTAATTAATAATACCTCCCAGGGATAATTTGCGTCTGCCGTCTTGCATCAGCATTGTTATTGTCCGCAGAGTCAACGTCTAACCCTTTGTGTTTGCGACGCGATGCATCTTAAAACTAACCCGACGCTATTCATGCACAACATACACGTATATTACCTAAGAACTCAAGACGGCTTTCAGTGGATTGTAGGTGTTAACGAAAAGTAATGAAATTAAAATAAATGTTACTTACTGAAAAATTAATTTTTTAATTTAATCCCTGTTATAAGGAATTTGAAGAATGTCTGAATTTTTGACATTATTTTTTGAACAATAATTGTAAAGTAGAAAATATCTCAATAAAAAATATTTTGATATTCCTACAGAATCACAGATTTTGCAAATGGTATTTACGAATTTTATTTTAGTGCGAGATAACCGGTACAAGAGCAGATTCAATCGTACATGTTTATAACTAAAAATATTTTTACGGATAACTCGATGATTTGTATTGTTGTGCAGTCATTTTACTAATTTGAGATGTGAACTTTTATTTCAAGTTATACAGATATGTAAAATTCGCAATGGTTTATGAATTTCATTTTTTAGGCGCTGTTTTGGAAACACGATTTTAGTACAATGTAAACATATATATTGCATATAACAATATTTGTAGATAGAAATAAGATATGATACATAGTATATATATATATATATATATAGCTGCAGAATATAAAAAACTTTTTATATATTTATAAATTAATTTTTAGAGCTATTCTTAATTAATAATAAATTAATTAAATCATTTAACAATATCGGATATTTTGTAAATTTATTCGTAATTGGTTGTTACAATAATAAATTTTTTGTGTTCTTTAATTACTTTCTTATCAAAATTTATTTTCATAATTTTCGTTTTTATTATTTTATAAATAATTGATTCATATTATAAATAAACTTTATTTGAATAGTGCAATCGAAAATCAATATAATGTGTTTATTTTGACGTTCCTATACAATAATATTGTTCTATCATCCATTTCTCATACCATATTGGGTTCGTCATTTTATGCGCATTTTATGGTTCAACATGTCCCTCGTAAAATTACGTGATATTTTCAAATCATCTCTCTCTTTTTATAACTGCATCTCTCTGAATTTTCCATTAAAATGGTTAAAATGGAACATAACACGTTCAGATGTTACAACTCGAGACTAAAATTTGAAATAATGTTTTACGAAACTGCTTATTATTTTCCATTAATATTGGGATTCCCATACAGCATACTAATGTTGAATCAACATCTCAGAAACGTTGAATTACAACATTGCAAATGTTACATCAACATCACGAAATATAGATTCAACGTTGAGAATGTATTCAACATTTCAATATTCAATATTGCAATGTCTCATTGTCAGTAACATTCTTTTATTTTATGCTGTATGGGACTCTTTCATTCTTGAATCTTTTTCTATGCGTATGGAATACGTTGTCTAGAAGTCATTTTTGAAAGCAAATTCGATAAAAATTTAAAATAAAAATTTCATTTTGCAAATTTCTTATCTAATATCCATTTGTTCTGAAGATGCGAGAATAGTCACGATAGTACGCGAAATGAATTCCATCCATATTACGGCATTTCAATTTTAACACATTTAATTTAATTTTCCTCACAAAGGCAGCATTTCCTTCCTCTGTGATAAGATATTAATTCCTTGAAATCTCCGATACGTGAAGATGCCTCAAAGACGAGGATGACCATAATAATGACAACAACGTGCCGGTACAAAGCCCACCAACGAATTAATTAATAGCGGAATGTCGTCATTATCTGACTATGATTTAATTTGTGATCAGTTTAATCTCGTATCGCGTGTAACTTCGTTGCTTTTTGTGCCAAAAACCAATGTCTTTAATCAGAAATATGTTCATTACCGGAAAATCGAGACTTTTAGATGGAAATTAACGAGGTTGTTTTGAAAGATAGAGGTGGAAACACGCTGCTTCCACGATCCATCTGCCCCCAATTAACCTACATGCTGATAAAATTCAGCGGCGTCGTTACTGAATACCGAAATAGCTAAACATTTTAATTAAAACTGAACAAAATTTTAATGCTTATGTGAATTCATTACCGTTCACGTATCACGTTGGAATTATTATGATCGTTATGGGATTGCTCGATTTTACTTAACGCTTGACATTATCGATTATAAAAAGATTGAGTGTATTACTTTTCATAAAATCGATATTGTTCAATGAATAAACGAATATTTAAGCGTATACTGTTTGTTTATTACATTATTTTCTATTTAAGTGTTTCGTTTCCCACTGAACGATGAGTTTTGAACATAATATTATTTTCATTACACTGATATATAAATTAATTATTTACATAAAAAATTATTATGGATCAAAGGAAAAGAGGGAGAAACAAAAAGAAGATGGATGGAAGAGAAAGGAGAGAAGAAATTATGGGATTATAAAAATTAAGTAATATTACTCATCTCGGCTAATATACAAAGCCATGTTATAAATATTGTGTAATAAAAAAATTTATTATCTTTATTAGAAATAAAAGCCGTCAGCATTGAGCTGATTTATTCATTTAATCTAAGTTAAACTTAGTCAATTCTTCTTACAAATTGAAAATGTCCTCCTATGGTAAAGAATATAAATCGCGTGAAGACACTTCTTAATAAAACAAAAATTGCTCTTCCTTTCTCTCATCTCTTCGATTAATTTTCATCATTCATTAATTTAGTCATTTAAAAGAGCATTTATTATGAGTTGAAACGCGAATGGAATTTGTAGTTTTTAAAAATTTCTGATTTTATTCAGATACACCTAATTTTCTTGAAGAATAAGTTTAATGCTTCTTTAGAAATTCCATAGATCCTTTGTCTTCGTTATCTACATAATTATAAACAGAATAATTGCAAAATTACTTCGCTAAGCGCTATAAATTACTGCTATCCATTCGTAATGATGGCACAGTGCAGAAATTAAGATGATCGTTTCTCCGCCATTTAACTCCGTGCTGATCCATTTTATTGCGCGGAACGCGAATAATCGCGAAAATTAACTGCCAAAATTTATGACAAACGTAATGCATTCGCATGAACGCGCATATAATACATCGTATCCGAATCTTAGTATCAAATGCCAGGGGCATGCTGAAATCGCATAAACGGATGCCATTTATCATGCTGCCAGGTCTTACCGCGCTGGCTGAGTGACAGCGCGTTAAATTTAGCATTAATGATGCGGTTCCAGGTACTATAGCGAGACGGAAGTTCGTTAATTAGTTATCGCGGCGAAAAGTGTACGGCAACTTGTGCCACATTCCACGCATCTCGTCTCTCCATCGCGCCACACCGACAAATTTCGATCTTTCGCGAAGAGATAATCTCGGAGATAACGGTTGCGTTTTCGAGTTCTACTTTAATTCACATTATATTTCGAATGCGCGCTACGCAAAGTTTTTTCATATATTATCCATTAATTTCAGTTTGTTAAGTTGTTATAATGCAGAAGTTAATATTTATTCAGAAGGCTGATCTTTCATGTTGTTAATAAAAATATCTCTAATTACAAATTTTAAACTGGTTGATCTTAACTGCGAATGAAATTAAAGATAGGTACGTGCAATTGTCTAAGTTGTTATGCTAGAAAAGATAATATATCTGAAAACTTTATAATATATTTATATTTATATTTATGTTGAAAATGCAAGATTTTGTTAGCAGAAAATTAAAACGTTTATTTTAAAGTGCATCCCTAGGTAAATTTATCCGTAAGTCCCCAAAATTTCAATAACATTAATAAAAAGACTCAATTATTTATTTGATTATACACTTTTATACTAATTTAAAAGTACTAATTTAAAAGACAATTTTTAATTACAATTTAAAAGACTTACGTGAGTTAAATGAAAGAAAGGTACTAATGAGATAATTGCTTAAAAATACGTAAACAAAATGACTTCCATATTGCAAAATAAATACAGCGTTGAACAGAGCAAATGTTTGATATGACCAATTAGAATTATTTCTATAATTACTTTTAATTACTTATTCTAATCGCGTCTTCAATATCACAATACAGAATGTTGCCACAAGGAAGAAATAACTTTCGTATGCAAACTAGTATTTGGTGGTACAACTTCAATCGCCAAAATTTCATTGGATTCGTTTAGGCATGAAATCTCCCCGTATAACAGGAAATAAAAAAATGCTACGATAAAACAACCTCTTATTGTGAAAAAGAGAGCCGTTTCAACGTATGTCGTCCGCAAGTCGGCCTCGCGCACAATGCAACTCGCCGCGCCCGATGCAATCGCATTCTATTAATGAATGTAGTTCGCATCCGTGGCACGCGCGTTAAGATCGTTACGAAATCTCGCGTCACGTGTGCGAGAACCGAAAGTGGAAGGAAGGAAGGAAGGAAGGAAGCACGTGAGGCATTATTAAACTTCTCGCGCTCTAATCCGGGTGTAACGCGCGTGGTTTACGTGGTCGGAACGAAAACTATGCGGTACGATGAGGGGGCCAAGAAGAATCGGTGGTGGCCTACCGAGCGGGAAAAAGCTGGATTGCTGCCAGAAGGTGCGTCAAGCTCGAGGAGTATTGTTGGTGTACTTGAGCATCTGTGCATTGCTGCCCGGCGCTATTTTCACCGGTGAGTATCGATGATTTTCTTTTTTTTTCGTATAATCAAGGTTATCTGTTCGATCTTTATGATATAGATATGTATAATGGAAGTTCCTGTCTTCGTCCAAGAAATCACAGATATGGATTATTTAAGAAAGAAAGGTACAGCTCAATTTTGACTTACTTTTAGAATTGATTCCCATCACACAGACATGAATTAAACAGAAAATTCCGCACATGACTAATATTAATATTAACGTTGCACATGAAACAGGATACTTGAATACTATGTATCATCGACGAATAGACAGCATTTCCAATCATTTCTATTTTTATAACCGTCAAAGTATATTATTCGTTTAAAATTTGTTTTTATATTTATATTTATTACATTGATAATGATCAGATCGGTGTCGAAACATGTTTGTATTTTTCGTTGAATATTAAAGTTTAAATTTGTGGTTCGTAACCCTTCGATTTTATTATTATTGATTTGAAATTATTGGGCCATTTTCTTACTTTTATATTTATAATTTAAGAAAGACCTAATACATTGTATAAAAATTAATATTGTTCCCTTACTTCAAGAGTAACGCAACTAAGAAATTGAATTTTTTAGAAAAATTATTGTTTAATTAAACAATATCGGCAAAAAGAATATTTGTAGAAACAAATCAAATGTCATTTTTATTTTACAACCTTAAAAACCATCCTTTTTGAATTGTCACAATTTTGATATCTTTAATATCAAAAGTGATATTATTCGAAATATAATCAACAGATTATATTTATTTTGATCAGCTAAAATAATTAAATTCAAAATAAAACAATTTCTTCTTCAAATTTTGATCATCGAAACTGTCTTAAATTTAAATGTTCTCTGTAGAAGATTTTCTTTTTTATTTACAAAAATGACAATTCAAAATGTGTCACTTTTGTAGAAGATATGATCTTTTTGGAAACCTTAAAAATGACCAAGCGTTATTTGGAGAACGGACTGAGAAGTTAAATTAGTTTACTTTCAATGATTCATAGAGTAATGTTTACTTAATTCATTTATAATCAATAATATAATTATAACTGAAGATTACATTTTTTCAGTTATTACTTCTAAAGCAAGAGAACGATATGCAAATCATAAATTATAATAAATTGTAATTACAAATATGTAGTTGTATGTCGCTTACAAAAATATCTTTGTTCGACCTACATTTAGAGAGATATTAGGATTAATTTTTAATACACAATATATCACATATGCAGATTTCTCTAACGAATGATAACTTATTTTTTATATTTTTTGGTAACTCTTATTTTTTATATCATTCGATTACAGATAAATTTTATTTTTTATAACGTTTCTATGAAAATAAAATTACAATATGTAATACATATTCATCATTAAAATTAATAAATAACGTGAATTTTATTTATTTCAAGATATAAATTACTAACTAAATCTTTGATAAAAAATTCAGCAAATGTTATGTAAATTTCGTTTCACTTATCGCAAAAAAATCTATCGCTTCTCGTTAGAGGGTAACTCACAAATCGCGCTATCACGTACCGTCGTCAACAACGCCAGGCGTAACGACAATATGATTTCTGCGCGCGGATGCAGAGCGCGGGAGTGAAACTTTTCTGCAGTCGTTCTTTAATATAAGGTCTCGCGGTCTCACCTGAGAAATGAAGAGCATAAATCATGGCGCTCATCAAGCCTCGCGTGGTCTCAATTTTGCAAAACTTTCCCCACAAATCTTTGCCGCCCGCCTAGGGCGCTGTCGTCTCCATCTTTTAAAGATTAGTTTAATGTCGTTCGCGATGTCTACCGTACTTCAACTTTATAATGAGAAAGTCACTGTGACGGAACGAAATAAGCAATAACACTGTGTTATATGAAGAAGCATCCTGTAGAACTTTAGGTTTATAAAAATCACATACATCATTCTCTACTTAACAACAATTTGTTACTTTACAATAATATGTGACATAATAATATGTAATGTTGATAATATTTCGTCTAGTGAGTATATTTATAAGTATAAATAGATCATTTGTTTGCAATTATAATACATTATCCCGTAATTAAATAATTCAAATTTAAAGTATAAAAAATAGTACCCCATGTAACATTATAAAAACCGTAAGTACAATTGCACCAATAATTTCATTTTTATTTAATTAAAATTAGTTTTGTATTAACATTGTAACTTCCGCGTTGAAATTATTGGTGCAATTGTACTTACGGTTTTTATAATGTTACATGGGGTACTATTTTTTATACTTTAAATTTGAATTATTTAATTACGGGATAATGTATTATAATTGCAAACAATTTAGTTACAAAAAAGTTGATATACGTGTATATATGAGGTTAACTACCGCAAACATACATTTAGAGCTCCCGACAATTCGAGCGTTGATCTTATTTAAAAATAGGCATCACAGAAACCGAAGCAAGCTATATATAGAAATCTCTTCGGTCACAATGATATTATAATAAAGGTAAATGTATCATGAAATAATATAATTTCTTAACTCTTACACGTTATATAATTTTTTTTAAATTTATGTTTCAATTATATAAAAATGATGTTAAGCCATATAAAAATGATGTTAATACTGATTTTTAATTATTTATATAGATGTTTCAATTATAAAATTAAGTTTTAGTTATATTACCGAAATTGAGAAGAATTATCAAAAATAACTTTTTACGTAAAATATGTAATGCGATTAAATACTTTCGCTCTTTCGTTTATGATAAAACATTTAACAGTCAATTTAATTTTTGTACTTTCCCTCGTGATCGTTTTAAAGTTTGTTATAAAATATAAATTATGAAAGAGCACAAACTCCACTCTGTTGTTTTGATGTCAGAAAGGCATGACTAGAAATATAAATTGAGAGAAACGACCCTTGTAAAATGTGAAGGCAGTACTAAAGGACGTCCTCAGACGTACTCGAACGCGAGGTGCAGCTCTATGCGTCGAGATATGCAACTCGTAACGTTTCACAGACAAAATAGGAACTAATTAAGCACACGAGAGTTTAAACGAGGCGCGGCACTGGCCGTAGTGCAAATTGCAAGTCGTATTAACAATTATCTCGTAATTGTCTACAGCATGCTCAGGATTTGTAAAGCTAGAATTAAATTCGCAAGTAACGCTTGCTGGCACTTCGTGTCTCGACTCCATGTGTTCCTTTCTAGATATACCTCTCGTTCTATTTTCCCTCAAATCTCTGCCATTGTATTTCCTCGCTTCGTCAAGGATTTGACATTTCATTTGAATGAAAGGAGGAAAATAAATTTCGCTTACTTGCTTTTAAAAGTAAAATGTGATAGTCGTAGACCAGCATTTATAATAGCACTTCTGCTGAAAAATTCTTTGAATTCCAAATCAAGAGACGCGGTAGCGTCTCGTGCCAAACATATTTTTTGTGAAGTTTTATTTTCCATATAATATATCTAATAATTTTTAAATACATTAATTTCAATTTAAATTGTGAAAAAATTAAATAATTCACATATAATAAGTTAAGCTGTAACATAAAAATATATATCAATTAGATATATGTATAGAAGCAAATTCTTTTATTAATTAAATAGAATTCAAGTAGCAATATTTTTACTCCAAAACATTTCGTCGTATAAATAGAATTAATCGAATTTTAAACTGGATCTAGTTAGTCTAACTAACTATAAGTAACAAAATTATAGTATTTTATAATCTAATGTTTTGGTACTTCTAATGAGTAATAATGAGTAATGATCTGCTTTAATGAATAGACGTTATTAATTATAAGAGTTAATTAATTACACAAACTGACAGTCACTAATTTTTTATATGAAATGATTAATCGCATTTCAAAGAATAATGCAACAATATGCAGAGTGATTCTTACTGCTTCTTATATCGAGTCTCGAAATATAAATGAAAACATGCTATTTAACATTTGCTGGCACGTAGCCTTGATGTTTGTTTTTGCGCATTACAACAGTTGCAACACTATTCTTTACATGATGACTCCGCGTTATCATTCGTATTTCGATAATCTAACTAAAAGGAAGCATCGAGAATAGTTCAGTGTGTCATCAAGTTATTAATCCTCGAAACGTGATTGCAAAAGTGACAGAATTTGATCACTTCTTGTACGTATTAATAATAAGCAACGTGTATCAATCCGCGCGATTAATAAATTCTTACAATTTGTAACTAGAAACAATTCATTAAATGTTGCGACACGATCGACAATTTATATTAGATTTGTTCTTTATAATTGAACACTTGTTATAAAATGAAATAGATATATATATTTGAAATCTGACGAAAGTGAGAAAGAAAATTTTAGTGCATCAAGTGCAGTGACAAAGAACACAGGGCTTATTGTATAACATATGTCTTTACTTATTCTAAAGTAGGAATATAAACTAATACTTTGTTTTGATAGAACACTTTTTCTTATATAAAGAGAAGAAAGTATGATTAAAAAGTATACATTATTAAAAGTTTATATTATTAAGAAGTATGTATTATTAAGATATATGATATTAATATCGTGTCTTATACCATTTCATGATATTGCAAATAGGATCATGTTTTAATACCATTTCATGATATTGCAAATAGGATCATGTTTTGCAAAGTAATGTCTGATCTCATGTGGTAATGAGTATGCACGACGATAATTAATTAATCATTTTTACGAGTTAGTAAGTAAGGTACCTGAGCCGAATAAGGCCCACCTAATTTATTTTATTTTTTTTTAATTTTATTTATGAGGATATTGAAATAAACTAAGTGAGAATTAAATCTTCATTTCATTCACTCCTAAAAATAAAATATATTATTTATATAGAATATATTATATTCATTTATATAATATGTATAAATGAACGCGAAAAAAAAAATTTTATTAAACTCTGACATTGGGCCTTATTACATGCATATGAATATAATAAGACTTTAGTAAGGTCAGAAATCTATTTCAAGGAGTTTAAAATGCTAATTTTGACAGATTGTAAAA